AATTATTTATTTAAACTTTTTTTTTATCTTTGCTTCCCAATACACACAATAAAAAGGGCAACTAAAAAGGGAACCATAAATGGTTGACAAAGGGCATTAGAAAATCATGTATAAGGAAAAGATATCTCTACCTTAGTCAACAATATGATAAAACTAAGGGAAAAATACTCAATAAAAATATAAATCATATAGTTCCATACTTAAAAAGTGCATATATAAATCGAGACAGATACAAAGTAAGAAATATATCGACAATAATAAAAATAAATGTAAAGCCACATGGGCGGTAATTAATGAAAATATTGACGACCAAAATACGAAAACACAAATTGACAGAATAATAAAAAATAATCGGATATATGACGACCCAAAGAAAATAAGTGACATATTTAATCACTTTTATATAAACTTGATAAATAACAATAATTTTAAATATAATGTTGAGGAAATAAACAAAACTATCACGACTAATAATATCCATACAATATTTCTTAAACCTACGGATACTATGGAAATATTTCGGGTAATTAAAAGTCTTAATAATACGAACGCAGTAGGATTTGATAACATAACAACCACTGCAATTAAATTATCTGCACGATACATATGTCAACCGCTATGTTATTTAATTAATATGTCTTTTGAAGAAGGTACCTTCCCAAGTATATTGAAAAAATCAATCGTTAAGCCACTTTTTAAGAAAGGCGAAAAATACGAAATGAATAATTATAGTCCAGTCACGCGGATACCCATATTGTCAAAAATATTCGAGAAGATTATGCTGAGAAGGCTTCAAGTATTCACGACAAGTCATCGTTTACTGAAAGAGGAGCAATTTGGATTTAAACAGAATAGTACAACCTCGTTAGCATGTTTTAATTTGATTAAAATTGTCACCCAGGCCATAAATGATGGACTTCCAGTTGCGGCAATCTTCCTGGACATGAGCAAGGCGTTCGATTTCGTGGACCATAAATTGCTCTTACACAAATTAGAAAAATATGGGATAAGAGGTAAAGCTAACGACTGGTTGAGAAACTATTTATGTGAGAGACAACAATGTGTGGAAATATCTAAAGTCAATAAAGACAAAAAAGTGTTTTACAGAAGCGAAAATCAGATAAATGACTTTGGCGTGCCACAAGGCAGTGTATTGGGACAATTCTTATTCCTCATGTATATTAATGATCTCCCTAATATCACTCGCCATAACACAATCTTGTTTGCTGATGACACAACCCTTATCGTGAAATGCGAAAATGCAGATACATATGAAACAGAGATAAATAAAGCAATCAAAAATATAATAAACTGGCTTTATTGTAATAATTTACAGATTAATATGGAAAAAAAACCAAAATGATCCAATTTCAGACATACCAGAGAAAACTATTGAATATTAATGTTAAATATAATGATAAGATCATCGAACAAGTACCTGGGTGGATTGAAAAGTACTCGGCCTAACACAGATCCATTCAATTCTAAAAATCAAATCTACCCACATTATTTAGTTCAGTTCAGACTAGTTCATTGTGTGAAGTTCGAAACGTGTGCGATAATTAGTTGTGATTTTATAAATTTATTAACAAAGTAATCGGACATAATTTCCGCGAATGGAGATGGAAATCGAGCAGCGTGCCGTCATGAAGTACCTCCATAAGAAGGGGCTATCATCAAAAGCCATCCATGATGTCATGGTCAGTACATTAGGCGATTGTGCTCTGTCATATTCATCCGTCAAAAAATGGATAGCAGAATTTAAGCGTGGTAGAGAGAGTGTGAAAGATGAACCCCGCTCTGGAAGGCCTTCGACGTCAACTACTGACGAAAATATTAAAAAAGTACTTGATTTAATAATGGGAGACCGCAGATTAAAAATTAGAGAGATAGCCGAGATTATAGGCATCTCTTATGAACGAACTCAAAACATCATTGTCAACGAGTTGGGTTTCCACAAGGTGTCTGCGAGGTGGGTTCCGCGACTGCTTTCAGTTGAACAAAAAAGGACGCGATTGACTATTTCACGCGACTGTTTGGAGTTATTTGAAGCCGATGCAGATGATTTTTTGAATCGTTTTGTTACTATGGACGAAACATGGGTTCATTGCTGTACACCGGAAACAAAACAACAATCAAAACAGTGGAGAAGACCTGGTTCACCACCCCCTAAAAAGGCTAAGTCGATTTTGTCGGCAAATAAGGTGATGGCTTCAGTATTCTGGGACTCGAAAGGTGTGATTATGATTGATTATCTTGAAAGGGGTCAGACTATAAACTCTGATTACTACTGCACCTTACTACGTCGTTTACGAGAGGAAATAAAAGAAAAACGTCGAGGAATGCTCAGAAGAAAAGTCCTGTTTCATCAAGATAACGCCCGTGTTCACACGTCAGTACAGTCAATGGCTGAAATTCACAACTGTGGCTTTGAACTGTTACCGCATCCACCGTATTCACCTGATCTGGCACCATCAGACTTCTTTCTGTTCCCTAACCTAAAAAAGCACTTGGGAGGTCAAAGATTTTCGACAAACGACGAGGTCAAAGCAGCTGTAGACGCATATTTTGACTCTAAGGAAGAATCATTTTTTTTTCAACGGTCTAAATGCTTGGAATGGGAGGTGGCAAAAGTGTATTGAACTTGATGGTGATTATGTAGAAAAATAAAAATATAACTGATTTAGTATGTGTTTATTTTCTTGGTTAGGCCGAGTACTTTTCAATCCACCCTCGTAGCAAGTACCAAATTTCTGGGTATAATGTTGGATCAAAATTGCGACTGGAAAACACATGTCGATTACGTTTGTGACAAACTCGACAGATTTGTCTACGCAATAAAGAGATTACGAGTCACGGTATCAACTGATGCTGCTCTATGTGCATATCACGGATATGTTTCGTTAGTACTATCATATGGTCTTTTATTGTGGGGCAATTCAGTAGATATAATAAAAGTATTTAGAGTACAAAAAAAAATGTGTGCGTGCAATCTATGGAGCAGGGTATACGGATAGCTGTAAGCCCTTGTTTAAAAAGTACGATATCTTAACATTAACATGCTTGTACATTAAAGAAATATGCATATTTGTAAAACAGCATCCTGAACACTTTGAAAGGCAAATAGATGTAACTGAACGAAATGTAGCTCCTAGAAATAAACATAAATTATACTTATCTCAATGCAAGCTCAAATTGTATGAAAGGAACTCTTACGTAAATGCTACAAAAGTGTATAACAAAATACCCAACGACTTTAAAGAGTTACCTTTAACCACGTTTAAAAAAAAGTTAATACAATGGTTAAAAGAAAAATGTTTTTACGATCTAAACTAATTTATGTCTTTTAGTGGAAAATAAATCCGAAGTCAGTAATATTGATATATATCTAATAATTGATTAATTACAAACAAAATGAAAGTATGGACATTAACACTTAAGAACAACCATTAAACAATGTGACATTTTAATTGAATTGCCACTTGTAATTTTTTTTTTTGCATGTATACTAATTAAATATTTGCACACCATATAAAATGGTAGAATGTAAATGGGCCATTATGCATAATTTAAGATCATACTATATTGTACACATACATTCTGGCAAATAAATGAATTTGAATTTGAATTTGAATTTGATATTTTGTTCGTTTATCTGTTTCGGTCATTTTCGAGCACGGCTTCCGGCAAATACATGTAATACAGCAATTTCCGGTCCACGAGACCGTATTTCAGAGCGAGCTCCTGGTGTAGAATTCTGGCTATTAGGTTGTGCCTGTGCAAGTACTCAGAGTTAGAAAGCGCCGAACAACCGGAGATGACATGCCTAAGTGACTCACCGGGATGGCGACAAGCTCGACAGACGTCGACAGTGCCATTCTTTAGGATGTATCTCCGATAGTTGTTGATCTTAATAACCTGATCCTGTATTGCACAGACAAAACCCTCGGTTTCCCCGAAAAGGTCACCGAAACGTAGCCAGTTGAGGGAGGCGACTGTATACATACCAGCCTCACGATGCCGATGTTCGTGACATACCCAGGTATCGGCATGTTTCAGCCTCGGAAAGGGTTCTTAAGTTGACGGGTATAGATAAGTCTATGCCCTCAGAGTTAGCAACCCTTCCCCTTTCAACATGGAGGACCGCACACTTATCCGTCCCCAGCTCCATTCCAATAGAATTACTAAATTCACAAATTATGTTTAGCAATTCCATAAGATGGGAGCGACTGGAGGCGAATAATTTGAGGTCATCCATATAGAAAAGGTGGGTCACTTTTGTACCTCCTTTCCGAAGCTGAAATCCCCTCCCGGAGCCCTCCAGTAAAGTACTGAGAGGGTTCAAAGAGAGGCAGAACCAGATTGGACTCAGACAGTCGCCCTGGAATATACCCCTTGTTATCCTTATGCGGCTTTCCGCAGCCGTCATCCGTTCGCCTAGATGACAGAGGATCATACTCCACTGCCCCATACACTGTCCGAGGAAGTCTCGAGCTGTACAGTCAATCTTGTACAGCTCGAGGACCCTCTTTAGCCATGTATGGGGCACCGAGTCAAATGCCTTTCTGTAGTCTATCCAGGCGGCGGAAAAGTTCCAACTGTTGCGTTTCACCACTTTGCCAATGACCGCGTCAATGAGGAGTGGTTCCTTGGTTCCACGACCGCCGCCCCGACATCCATTTTGAGCGCGCGACATCACCTGATTTGAGTCCAGGTGAGGAGTGATTCCCGCGCTCAAAATGGATGTTAGTGTCTGGTATATGGTCAGTAGACACGTGATGGGTAGGTATTTGCTCGGGTCTGTGGTACCCTGGTCTTTAGGAACCAAATGAGTGATCCCAGTAGTGAAGAGGCTTGGGAGCGACTTCTGGTTGAGAGCCTCTTGAAACTGTCGGGCGAGCACAGCGTGACACACCATGAACCCGTTCAGCCAGTAATGATGCAACCCGTTAAACCCCGGACTTTTCCAGTTCGGGGCCCTACGGACCGCCTCAGCTACGTCATCCGGCGTTATGATGACGGGGTCTATGGGCGTTATACCCGCACACTTGACTCACCACAACTTCCGTCCAAGGGCCCTCACTGTGGTTTACGGGCTCTGACCACAGGCTGCGCCAGAATGCGACCGTGTCGGCCTGATTCGGTGCTAGGCCCGTTCCACTTACAATTGGTCGCTCCAATGATTTATGAAGCCGATGGCGACGGCGCCAAAAAGAATTGAGTCCGTCTCGCAAAGGTCCCGGCTTGCTTCCAAATAGGTCACCAGCATTGGGTTCAGAGCCCTCACGACATCCCGATTCCGCTTGCTTAGGGCTATGCGGGGAAGTCGCGGTCAATTTTCGAGAGGCGTACTGCGCGTATCCACAATCGCCTCTTCCAATGTACTCCTCATTTGCTCTGGTTCTTGTTCTTCCAATGTATTCTTCCAGTTCCTGGGCGATTGTTCCATCATCATTTGAATCAACCACAACTGGGGTATACACGGCGGCATCCACGTTTGCCGTTTGCTCTGCAAGATGTGGCGCCGCATCCTCAGCCGCCGCATTTTCACCCGATGAAGGAACAGCCTCACGTCGTAGCCGTTCGAGTTCGGCAACATCAAATATATTTGAGTGCAAGATCTGTCTGTCAGGTTTTGCTCGGTGACGGTTATAGATGGCTCCAGCTCAGCAAAAAGACGATGCATCCTAGCCCGATATGCCAAACCTTCAACTTCTCCCCCTTTCGCCCTAAAATACGCCCGCAGTGCGTTGGTATTCATTTTGATTGTCCATCGCATGCGGCGTACTCCACCAGTGGCGGGTGCCGATTGCTGGGCCCGCGAAGACCCTGCCGACACCAAGCCAGATGGTGGGGATGATGGATGCGAGGGGCTGATGGGTGGTCGTGCAGCACCTCTCGCTCGGCTGGCGGTTCACATGCTGTCGCGTCCAGTGCCAGCTCCAGACGCGCCCTGGTGACCTCCAGACAGCGGCCCTTTGCGCGTTCTTTCGTATTCCATCATCCTGCTCTTATTATTATATTATTATTATATGCCTCCTCCAAAGAATGCCACAAAGGACGGTCCTGAGCCACCTGCATCCATCAACTTCCTTCATGTCCTACCAGGTCATCGCTCCATCTAGTAGGAGGTCCCCTCAAACTTTGCCTACACCGGTATGCAAAGTATGAGGGGGCCTTCTCGTACCGTCGGGACTGCCACTCGAGACGCTTGTTTTCCCATTGGTTGTCAGTTCTTCGAGCTATAGGCTTCCTAATCCGTTGGACTATGTTGGTTACTCATGTTCTGCTACGAATATTCTCATTTCTAAGTATATCACGCATAGAAACTCCGTGCCCTTTCCATAGCTTGCTGAGCGACCTTATGCTTCCTTATATGGCCAGCAGTGAAGGAGCACGTCTCAGATCCATAAGTCATGACTCGCTACACGCACTGGTTGTACAATCTCGTTTTCAAGAATTATATACCGTACGAGAAGATATTTATATAATCTCCCGAACGCTGCCCAGCTGAGTTGACTCCCTCGATTCACCTCTCGGTCGAAATTGGACTTACCTAGTTACGTTGTACACGTTCTTTATTTTATTCATGTTCATCTTAAGACATATACGGTGGGTACGCCATATGCTCAATAACCTCAATACTGCCTCCATTGAGGTCATTGAGCATAGTGCTTAAATTCTTCAACTATTCTGCCATAAGGACTATATCGTTGGCAAATTGAATATGAGTGATATACTCACCATAGATGTGAATACCGTATCCTTTCCAGTCCAGTAGCTTGAAAACATCTTCCAATGCAGTGGTGAAGAGTTTCGGGGATTTAATGACACCTATCTTACACCTCCTGCAATTAGATAGGTTTCGTACGAGGGCACGGGAAATTTCTGGAATCAAGAAAGTGACACAACATTACTATTTAAAAATGTATTTATTGCTTTTCGAAGTATTCTCCGTGAAATTTGACACATTTTTCCATACGATGGAACCAATAATTGAAGCAACCATTCCATTCGGAAGTTGGGGTCTCCGAAATGGCCGTTTTGTAGATGTCTACAGCTTCTACAAGTGATGGAAATCTCTGTCCACGCAATTTATTCTTTATTTTAGGGAAAGTATAGAAATCATTAGGGCTTAGGTCGGGGCTGTACGGCGGATGGTCTTTACGGAGTTCAGAAACGACCTGTGGCAAATAAATGCTAGCATACCATTCTGTATTAACTGTTCTTTGTCCCTCAAGAGGAATAGTCGTAACATGGCGGTTTTGGAATAGTCACCTTTTTTTTGCATCACTCTGTGAACGAACAATTTTTGTTGGCTTTAACTCATTTTCAAACACCCAAACTCGTGACTGGTTTTTTGTTTCGGATTCGTACGCGTATATCCAGGATTCGTCACCTGATACGATGTTGTATATAGCATTTGAAGATCCTGCGCGGAATCTTCCGAGAGTTCTGACGCACCAAGTAATGCGAGCCGCTTTTTGCTCTTCAGAGCGAATGCGGTATCCATCGGGAAAACAACTTTTTTACACCTAATTGTTCATGCAAGATTATTTGTATTTGACTCATGCCAATGTCTAAAGTTGCTTGAATTTCGCGGTATGTCACATGTTGATTTTCCTCAATCAGCTTACGCACAGAATCAACGTTTTCTTGGGTGACTGCAGTTTTTGGATGACCTTGACGGGGATCATCACTGAGCTTGACACGCCCACGTTGAAATTCAGCAAACCAGCGATAAATTGTGGTTTTGGATAGGGCTTCATCACCAAATGCAGAAATCATCCGGTCAACACACTGTTTTTGTGTTAAACCACTTCGAAAGTCATAATAAATCATCGCTCTTGAATTTTCTCGAGTCAATTCCACTTTCTCAACGACTAAACAAGTTTGACAAAACCTTGTGACTGCTTGTGACAAGACCGAGAATCTTTTTTTAAATAAATAAATGGTATTCCATTTTTAAAACCAAGGAGTTTTCAATTAAAAAGATTTCAATATGACAGGAACAGTGGAAATATTCCATTCCCGATACTTTTAGTGCAGCCTGTGTACTCTGGTTCTGTACTCGGACAGCCTTCATAGCCCTGCTTTATAACACTTCAGTACTTCGATATACAGACAGTCAACTTGGCACTGCTGAAGGGACAGCAGTACCGCCCATCAATATCGACGGAATCAAAGGCCTTCTTATGGTCCACATACGCAAAACAAAGTGAAAGTGAAAGGTATGTATGTGGTCTATGGTGCTAAAGTATTTTAGAAAACCGGCTTGTTCGGGAGGCTGAAAGTTGTTGAGTCTGTGTGCAATACGATTTGTAATAACTCTCGAAAACAGCACGTAGACGCAGCTCAGAAGGGAGATTAGTCCGTAATTCTTCAAGGTCGCCTTTATCGAATAACAAGACCCACCCACTTCTGCGCCACGTCTTCGGAGTAGTGCCACCATGTAGGACAAAATTAAAGAACTTTTAAAGGACTTCATATACCGGTTTTCCACTCGCTTTCCGAAGCTCCCCTGTAATTCCATATTCGCCCGGGGATTCACCGTTTTAAAGGTGCTGGAGACATTTTAATCTCGCTCAGACTGACATCCGAAATATCATCGGAATAGTGTCGGATAAGACTTGCTCTTGGATCTTTACTCACACATGCATATGGTTCCAACGATGATGATTGCAGCTGCTCGTAGAATCTCTCAATCTCCCTAAAATTCTCAGGTGTTCCGGAAACGATACTGCTTATTCGGTCTTAAGCTTCAACAGTCGGCTCTTTCTGGCAGACAGATTTCCGTAAAAGACTTTGGAGCTCTGGTTCCACTCGATCGCTTCTTCAAAACGAGCTGTAGTGAAATTGCGTAAGTCCCGCTGCATGCAGTTGGAGACTTGTATCCTGTCAAATCTGCTGAAGACTGCAGCTTCGTTTCCCGTCTAACAGACATAAGATTAAGAGTGTGACAGAAGAGTTTTTTTTCTTCCGCAACGGGTCTTGCAGAACTTAACTCCGACCGTATGGACAGTTTCCACTTGCATTTGATTCATATCGACCACTGTATTGCAGTCTTCTAGGCACTGAAAACGATTTTATGACTCGAGTTGAAAGTTTTCGAGGCTTTGAATTAGATCACGACGGGAACGGGGCGTTGATTTCATCAGACGTGACCTCTCCAACTTAACTTTAGGTTCAGTGTGCCTTTCACCATCCGGCGATCGCTGCCAGTTTTCACCCTCACGATCAATGAGACATCGTTGAACAGTTACCGTCTAGTCGTCATAATGAAGTTAATCTCATTATTTGTCAAACTGTCGAGACTCGAACAGGTCCAACCACAACTATTCACTAACTGTATTTTATAAGTATAAATGTTAACAAAAAGGTTGAAATCTAATTATAATTACGTTAGAACCCTCTCACTAAATATGCATTAAAAATATGGTTATGCTTTTTTGTTATCACTCATTTATTTACGGCTTTTCGAAAACCTATAAAAAAGTTTTCAAAAGTTTTATTTTAGACATGGATCCATATGTGTTAAGAATACAAAAAATCCTAACTTATTATACTATAAATATAATATAATTATAATAAAATAAAATTAACTACATCGTAGCATAGCGAAATAATTAGGAAAAATCCGGGGCGCGGAGCACGTGCTATCTCGCCCCGGCCGCGCGCCTTCGGCTAAATCTTTTAATATCGTATTTAATTTTGTTAAAATCGGTATTTTCTTGTTCAAAAAATACATACCGATGAAAAAATATCATTGTTTTTCTTGATTTTCAAAAATGATTGGATGGCAAATTTTGCCTCCGTGAATAATTTTTCCAGCTTAGTATAATTCACATTTTACCATGATGACGTAAAACTCAAACAAATATTGTCGAGAGAAATAATTTACGCGCGGGACCTTTCGTGACCATAACATCGTCCTTGCGATTTCGAGACTATTCATACCCGTGCTTACGGTTCTAACTCACTAACGCACTCTCTATGGTTTACTTATAAAAACCCTAAGGACAAATTGTACTTATATTTAAACACGAATTAATAAGAATAACTAACGCACATTTCAAATAGTAATCATATATTACATAAAACTATACTTTAAGAGTAGGATTTTAAGGTCTATATAAATTTATAGACTCTGTAAGAGTTTATAAATTTTTATGAGGGATTAAAAAGTGCTGTACACAATTACTGTTGTTTTCTAATGTATTTTTATTTCATTTATTTTTTTATTTTTCTTTTATCCTTTCTTCAACTGAGAAAGATTTCTTGCAAATTTAATTTATCAATATATAGGCAGAATATGGTAACATCAAATGTGTCAAACCTTAAAGGCTGGTCAGGGGTTTTTGCCAGAAACGTAACTGCCGCGCTGATGGATTGCTGCTTCTGTATTATTGTTTGAATAATAGTTTGAAATAGACGTCGATACGTAAAAGTGTTACGATTTTGTTAATTAAATGTTTGTGCATATGAACTATAAGTAGTAGAAACGATAAAACAAGTATTCCGATGCTAATGTGAATCTGAAGATAAGGTGTCTGCTTAGGCACTTTGGGATACACTCGTCAACAATTGTAACTGTTGGCTCAAGCTACAGTTAAATTGT